TTACCGGTCCCGAGACCTGGTTCTCATAGGTACTGACCACTTGGACCCTGCATCTTGATTTGGATCATCGCTTATTTGGCATCAATCGATAGATCTCATCGAGTTCTATTTGGCACAGTTGATTTTAGGAGTGGCACAACCATGTAATCGAATATTTGCCCGGATTAAGGGTGGCGTAAGTTGGTTTTCGAGGTGCTGACCACTTGGCCCCTGTATGTTGGCTTGGATTGTCGCGTAATGGGTACCAACCGATAGATCTCATCGAATTCTATCTGGCACAAGTGATTTCGTGAATGGCACAAGATGAGGAGCGAATATTTGGTGGAAATACTGATATTCGCAGTAAAAAAAGCGTTTTTTTATCAGTTTTTTTTATTTTGCCGGTAAACGATGTAGTGAAAAGGTGTTGAACCTATGGCATTCTATAGTATATTCGATGGGCTACCTGGCACAACCAATGTTTAATCTGGCACAGCTGTGGTTGCGAATATTAGGGGGAAATACTCGAATCTGCTGCTAACTTTACTTACATATAACCGGCTACGAATTATCAACAGAGATCATGCATTTATGATATAGTCAAACGGTCACAAATATATGGTCACATGTTCTTCATTAAAACGAAAAACTACATAATTATATAACAAAAGTGTCATTATTGAAATGTGTATATAATATATTTTATTAAAAATTATTTAAGGTTTTTTTAATAAAATTATATTTGATATTGATTCTCTTGTCTCAAATGTATAAACAATGTTTTATTATAAGTTGAACTATAAAAATGTAATAATCTCCTTCAATGATATAGTAAATACATTTTTGTAGATATCATTATAATGACAAATCAAACTACGCAATAAATATATATGAAGTTTAACAGAACGATCGAGTTCATTTTTTTTTCAAACATTATTATGTTATCATTGTTTTCTCCTTCGTACTTTTACAGGGTTATTTTTTTTTAACTTAGTCATCAACAATTACATTTTCTATTTAAAAAGAACTGCAAGTTTATACATTCTATTATAACCAAGATATAGAAAAGAAAAAAAGAACATGCATACAACCTATTATTTGTCAACACTATAATTGTGTCACAAGACATCAAGAATTTACGTCATTCTGTACGACATTCTATACACAAGTAGGTGAAAGAGGGACATCTTATTAACATATATTAGAGCTAACACACTTGACATTATTTGTTTTAGAAACTAAATACGCGATATTAGTCATATAGATAACGTCGAAATATATACTGAGAAATATGAAAATAATTATTCGATAATTCTCATACATAATCATCGAATTGTTATAGATGATTTATACATTCGAATATATGGATGGTTTTTATATCATTGATCCGAAAATTTATTCTTGTTAACATTTGCAGTGATTATGTGATACAGAACTAAACTTCTAATGCTATCTGTATAATACTATATGCAAAAGTCTTTGGAAAAATGTCAACCTGAAGAACAGATTCAATCAGACTTTTGACATTATTTCTGTAGTAATGTAGCTAATGAAGGGCTAAAGATTGAGCCTCGACATGAATAAAATCTTGACTATGCCACTACATCTCTGGTCTAGTTTACGTGATATCTCAATAAAGAGAACCATTCCTACTCTAAAATGTGCTGTAATTCTTTTCTAATATATAAAATGAAATCTGCTACCAACACAATCAAAAATCATATATTAATTATTATTATTCATGGTTGAAGACATAGACTTCATCTATGCTTCGGAATGCATACGAATTAAATAACAAACTATGGAGCTCGAATTATCATCATTCGAAAGAGCAATTTGGGGAACATCGATCTATATGAAATTCATTAGGTTCAAAGACATTCTTGATGGTTATTTTCAAAATGATTTCTTTTTTTGTTGTCAATCTTCATGAGTTTTCATGATAACCTAGTCTTCCTTTTGTAAACGAGAAGTTTCTTTCTATCTTTCTTGAAAGGAAAGCAGAACAAGTCAATTTAATGCTTTTTGTATACGATAGAATGTGATAGTCTAAGAAAGTTAAACATTCATCTCTATATTATTTTTCGTTTTTAATTATACATCTTAAACCCTCTAATCATCTTCAAAGTCACATGAATTTTCATTTCTCTTTGAATTGAAGTTATTACGTGAAAAATTAAAAAGTTGCCATTTTCTTTAGACTCTTTCGTTATTTCATGAAGAACTTAAAAAGTCAATGTGGTCTTAGGAATTATACTTATTCTATATGTACTCAGAAGTCATTTGTTACTATAGCAGTTAAATCGTTATTCCTCATTGATTTTGATTGAAACCTAGACTGTGTGACTACTGTAGATTGACAAATACCATTTTTCCTTCATGTAGTGATAGTAGCAGTGTTGTAACCTTTTGTTAAAAATGTCGCTGCGACAGCGGCAGATTCTCAGCCACGACGGACATCTCTGGAGTGTGAGTAAACAGATAACCGAAACCCATACCCATACTCACATTCAGAAAATCTCTTTGACCATTGGTCGAACATATCCAAATATGTAGGAAAAAATACAAACGATCGATCAACTTTTCATTGTCGATTAAGCTTTTCTCATCAATCATGCTAATTAGTTCTCAATAGAACAAAAGAAACATCAGTCGAGCGTAATATACATAAGATCTTATCTATTGAAACTTTTTATTCTCAATCATAGTCATAAGTTAAATAGACATAAATGATTGATCATATGTCATTTATGAACAAGAACAAATAAATGACATGGTTACATAGCCCTTCTTGTCTACTTTTGAACAAACTGATTTCTGCTGCTTTTCCACGGCTTTACTCAAAATATCGGCGTCAAGAGGGTGTGGATGTCTTGTTCAACCACACTTACATCCTCAATTTTTTTTGCTGAACGAGTTAAAAGTTCTAGAAAATTAAGAAATTTTGTTTTTGTCATAACAAAATATTTTCGAAGAAAAAACTGGAATAGAAAAGATTCATGAGAAACTTAGTTTATAGCAATATGATGAGAATGACAAGTTTTCTTTCGTTCAAACTTTTGAAATAGTCTGATGATCATCAATTTTTTTTAGATTATGAATATGAAGTCTTTTAGACATAAAACGTTGTTTGTTTTTTTTTGTCATTGTATTAAATTACAACGATGAAGGAACAAGAGGATCCATTTCATTAGTTTCTAATGTTGGTTCATCATCTAAGTTATATATTGCTAGTTTTCGTCTTGTATATGAATTTGCTAATGTTCGAAGATATTCAGCTTCAGTTTCTCCTGTCTGTTCTACTAGTAAAGTAAACTGAGAGTAATTATTTGAAAGTAATACTTGAGGTGAATCAAATTCGACTAATTTTCCATTACTAAGTACCTATAATAAGAAAAAAAATAAATAAATGTTTATATTTCAAAAAATTCTCTACCATGATACGATCACTATCAATAACTGTACGTAAACGATGTGCAATTGTTAATACTGTACATTCTTTGAATTTATCACGTATGGCTTTTTGAATTAATTCATCTGTTCTAAACAATATTTTTCATTTTTGTTCTACGTTTTTTTTTCTTCTTCTTCAAATATCTCGTTTTTGTTACTCACACATTATCTACATTAGCAGTTGCTTCATCAATTACAAGAATTTTATTCTTTTTTAATATAGCTCGTGCTAAACATACCAGTTGTTTTTGACCAATACTTAAATTAGATCCATTTTCACTTACTAATGAATGAAGACCATTGGACATCATATCTATTACTAATTTCTTTAATTGTACCTATATTAACAAAAAACAAATTTATTCAATTAGTGACATAAAAACAAAAGATTCAGACTTGTTCAAGTGCATTCCATATTTCTACATCTGAATAAAGACCAAATGGATCAAGATTATTTCTCATTGTACCAGTAAAAAGAATAGGATCTTGTGGAATAATTGAAATATGACGTCGAATATCATCTAATCCAATAGTTGTTATATCAATATTATCAATAATAATATGACCATTAACAAGTGTACCCATTCGAAAAAGTGTTTGAATAAATGAACTTTTACCAGCACCTGTTCTTCCAACAATACCAATTTTTTCACCAGGTTCAATTATTAATGAAATATTATGAAGAGCCAATGGTGAATGTAATTCTTTTGAATGTGACATGGAAACATTTTCAAAAATAATACGACCTTGTGATGGCCAATTTATTGGTGGTCGATATTTGAATGATAATTGATTAGATGATTCTTGATCAAGTGAACAATATTCAAGTATTCGTTCGACTGATGTCATTTGAGTTTCAACTTCTACTGATTGTCTAGAACAAAACAAGATTTTCTACATGAAAATAAAATGTACATTTTTATTTTCAATATCTAACCTTATAGTCCATTGAAAAAGGCTCATTAGACTTAGACTATAGGTGAGTGTAAGAGCAATTTCTACAACTGAAAATTGATGTTGACTTATACGAACAATTATAGCAAGTATAGTAACTAAGGCAATAAATATTAGAGTTATCCAATCAAAACGCATTGCTGACCATCTACTTAATATTACAATTAAATATTTAACTCGTGTAGTATTATCAAGATGATAATGAAATTCTTTTGAACAAATATTTTCAGCATGATAAGATCGAATAACTTTAAGTCCATAAATAGTTGATGTTAATTGTGAATAAATAGAACTTCGTGTAATTCCTAAAAGTCGTTGTAAATCACGAGAACATGGAGCATATCGATATCTTAAAAAGAACATGCCAATTGTAGCAATTATTGCTGGAATAAATGACCATGGATTAATTAATACAACTAGAATAATTGTACCTAAAACTTGAGATAAACACTAAGAAAATATATATCATATATTATGTTTACATAGACTAAAAACACAAAAATATTTACCACAAGAAAATCGAGTAGAGTTGTTGGTAAAGAATCATCCATTGTAGCGATATCACTTGTAAAACGATTCAATATTCGACCTGTAAAAAAAGAAATATTGAAGAGATTATATATATAGATAGATAGCCCTACGGCCTGATACTCTTATATAGCATAAATAAAGATTCAAAGCAGTTACTTACCAACAGGATTTGTATCAAAAAATGATATAGGACATCGAATTATTCGTTTAAACATTCTAAAAATGAAGGAAATATAGAAGATTAAATTTAAATAATAACTTACTTATTATGAAGTACTCGTCCAGCATTTAAACATATAAGTTGACAGATAATAGTACGAAGAAATATGAAAAAACAAAGTATAGATATGAGAACTAAAATTAAATATAAAAATATCGAAAAAAATAATTAAAATTTTATTCATCAACTAACTACAAAATATATAAAATCGGTGATTTCGATATGTATTCCATTCAATAGCATTCATTTGATATATTCTATCATTTTTCTTATTTTGTATAATCATGCAATTAGTTGAATTCTGATAATGATGATTTTCATCATTACTCCATGCTGCTAACCACCAATTACTATAAATAGCTATTGTTTGTTGTATTCCAAATATAATTATAATTAATAGAAAACCCAAAATAACACCAATACCAGCTCGAAGATATGATATATAAACATTCCATTTTACTGTTCCTTTTTGTTTTGTTTCAAGATTTTTTGGTAATGAATTAATATCTTCTTCATCGATATTGTCGTTTTCTGAATTTATTGAACCAATCATTGATTGTTGATTTAATAAAGAAACTGGTTGTTGTTGTTCATGTTGATTAATATCTTCAAGAAGTTGAGCAAATGATGTTGAAGATACAAGTAATTCTTCATATGTTCCCATTTGTACCATTTCACCCTATAATATACATACGAAAAAAAAAATCATCTATATTTTCATTTGATATACATACATTATCTAAAACAATAATTTTAGTTGCATCTTGTAAAAATTGTATTTGATGAGTAACTAAAATACAAATCTTATTGCGAAGATAATTTTTAATTGATCTAAAATAAATTCATCAATGTTTTGAAGACAAAAAAAAACAGAACAATTCTATTTACTTATCAAAGAGATGTTTAGAAACTTTAGCATCAACAGCTGAAAGTGGATCATCTAATAGATAAATATCAGCATCATGATAAAGTGCTCTTGCCATATTGACACGTGCTTTTTGACCCTATCAATAATAGATAATAAATCATGGTCTTTTTTTTTTCGAATAAACCATCATATCTTACTCCAGATAGCATAACACCTTGATCACCAACAAGAGTATTTTCACCATGAGACAATTGAACAAAATCCTAATCATTAAACACATTTACATATTATTCGCTAGCGATATGACACCAAAAAAAAAGAAAGAATATCGACTTTCATTCCACGGGTTTCAGTTTAGAAAAAGACGACAGTTTTGACTTTTGACCCAGCACAGACAGACAGACACTAAACATTATATATATAGATGATGCTGTAAACAACTTCTAAGGCTAGAAAAATCTTTCTCCAAAGTTTTTTCTGAGCACGCTTCGATTTCTTCAAAAAAAATCAGAAAAATAACTCTTGTAAAAAAAAATGAAAATTAACCTACTACGTCAAGAGCAGTCGCATGAATAACACGTTGAAACAACTTATAATTATTTTTTTTACCAAAAAGAATATTATTTTTTATTGATGATGAGAATATCCCTATTAATACAATAAGTAAATTTTGAATGAGTTTTCAAAAATAATCCATTTACATGATTCTTGTGGTACATAACAAAATGATCCATATAATCGAACTTTTCCATCAAAATAAGTTATTTCACCTGTTAGTGTTTGTAAAAGTGAACTCTGAATAGAAGTAAAATTATATTTAAATTTGAAACAAAAAAACAAACTTTTCCAGATCCAACAGGTCCAATAATACAGATTAAATCACCTGGATAAGCATCGAATATAATATTTTTTAATGAAAATTTTCCATTCTAATATATATAATAATTCTTATTTTAGTTAAAAAAAAAACAAACATTTACTTTTTCCCATTGAGCTTGTTTTAAATTACATATAACTTGAGATATTTTTTCATCAATTTTATTTATTTCTACAATATCATTACAAGATGTTGATAATAATCGATTATCTCGTTCAGATTCATTCAATAAAAGAAATTTCTATAGAAAAATTTTCATTTTCAAACATAACAATCTATTCAAAAAAAAAACTAACTCGAATTCGTTTTTGAGCAGCAATATAATTAAGAAGATCACGAATAGCAAAATTAAAATAATTAATACAAGATTGACGTATATAATTAACTAATACATATGAAAGAGTAAATATACGTGTATCAAATTTCATATTAAATAACCACATTATTCCATACATCATTAAAAATATTATACTAATATAACTATGTGATAAGACTGTTTCAATACAAGTACACATCATATATAGAATAGTTTTAATTATTTCACGCCTATATTGATATTTATTTCATATATGTCAGTTTATAAAATGATATATTTACGTTCTTATATGATAAATTTTTCTTTCGAATGCTGATTCCCAACAATACATTTTTATAATTCGCATTGATTTAATAATTTCCGACATAATTTTAATACGTTCATCAGTTATTTTCAAAACTTCGGAACTAGAAATTATGAAATTTTATCAATATAAAGATAAAAAAAAACAAACCGTAAATGAAGAAACAAACGACTAAATAATGGTTGCATTAATAAGAGAACTAACGTATATCCAATAGCAATAAAAGTAATATATTTAACAAAATGCCATAATAGGAAAACAACTACAATGATTTGTAGTGGAGCGACCTACAAAAAAAAAACATCATATTGTTGCCTCATAAAAAAAATTCATTTAACAACATACCCATAAATAGTTTAAAAAGTAATGAACTTGTTCTATTTTATTAGCATCATTTGCTAATAAATTTGTAATTTCACCAGAACTCAAATTATTCATTGTATGACTTGATAAACGAAGTACCTTTTTTGAAAAAGAATAATTAAAACTATATCATCAATTTATTTTTCATTTACTTTTCGAAAGATTAAACCACTATAAGCCAATCTCATTTGTACACCACATAAAACAGTACGAAAAACGTACTATAAAAAAAATCGAAAATGACCTAGAGATATCAATGAAATCGATATTACTTGATGAAAAATAAGATTTATACATAATAGTACTATAATAATAGTTAAAACTGCTAACCAAGCTTGCCAAGATAACATTGTTGAACATGGTTCGAAAAATTTCATAAAATAGATAACTAATAATGGTTGAACAATATTTAATGATTCCTAAAAAGTATTAAATTAAACTAAGGATATTTTATTATTTATATTGATTATCTTTACTTACAAGAGGAATTAATAAAAGACCGAAAAGTATTAATTTCCATCCCATAGTACGTAATGTAACTCGAATTAGATTTGGATTTTGTGGACATCGTTTTATTTCATTCAACCAATTTTCTTCTAACTTATCAGTCAATGATGTTGATTTAAGAAAATCAGGAAGATCATAAAGATCATCAAGATGAAGAGTTCCTTGTTTGTGACTTTTTGTAATTAAAGAAGATAGCCAACTATACAACAAAAAAACAAAAATTGCTAATGATAAAAAAATACTACTTACCAATGAAAAAAACGTGAGAAGATATTAACTTCTAATAAAGGATTCGGATTGTTTGAAGATGATGACATCTATCTCTTATTTGATCATTACGTTGTACCGTTTCTCCTATCAAGAGTATGGTTGTATTTTGTTTTCTCACACGTGTAATACGAGGTAGTTTTGCAATTTAAAAAAAAAACGAGAATGATAAGTCAATAGAATATATATTTTTTGGGACCTTGGTTTTTTTTGTTATCTGCCATACTAATACGTTTAGAAATAAAAATGAGTATCATTGCATCAGACCTTCAAATATCATGCAATATTAATTTTGCAACTAGATTCAATTCAATCTAATCTTGTTGAAGTGAGTCATGATTGCAACATGTCGAATCATCGATATGTCTATGAAATTCTTATTTATCAAATATCATTAATAATACAATCGATTATATTAATCATATAAAAATATATTGCATCCACAAATGGTTTCTGTTTTTGTTCGAAAAGAAATCTCATTAAAACTACCTAGATAACCAATCCAATTTATTGACATATATACAACCAATCATAAAATTAGCACAAAATGCCAAAAAATCATCCATAAAATATCAGACATTTATAAGCAAGGCGAAATTCAAAGGACTACAATACTATACTGAATAGGCAGGCTTTTAATAATACTAACATCATCATGAAAAATATTTCTGCTAACTTGTAAATATTATAAATCAATACATCTACTTCAGCTGTTCATTGAAATGGTTTTTTACGTCTTAAGAAAGCCCATAAACTAAAAATATTTTCGTATTGGTAATACCACCCATGGAGTAAAATATTGAAGGAAACGGACCACGTAACGCGTTTCCGAGATTGTAGCATGCGTTTTGCAACGTTTTTTCAATACAGGACGCGTTTCGCAGCATTCTTACTTACATAAAATGCGTTTTGCCACCGTCGTTTTTTGAAACGATCCGAAACGCTTTTTTCAAGATTGCGTTTCGAGGCGTTTCCGAATTAAAATACTGTCGAACGCACTTTAGTTGACAGGCGACGCGTTTCGCAGGTATAAACCGAGGGGAAGGTGGAACGCGTTTCTTTTTCAAATGTGTTGCATTGGTTTTGCTTGGAATGATGCAAAATATATCCGTTCTGCATACAGAATCTTGCAGAAATTCACCAACACAAAGCATATGAGTTAAGCAAAGTAAATTCTTTAACATTACTTTGGAAATGATATGAAATAGCACTCGAAAGTTTTGCTCCCTGCACTATTTTTACGTGAAAATCATGACCAAGGATTTTATGAAGGCAAGACTGAAATCGAAGTCTTCTAAATTTTTAGGTTGCTAGGCTGTTATCTAGACCTGATTCGAAGTTAGACTAATGTAAAACATCAAAGCGTAACAAAAACATTTTTTTTCTTACTTAAAAACCCATTTCTTCACCACGTTTTTATTGAAAGAAAACGTGTTTCGCAAGGTTTACTTAAGAATTGTTTTAAATATTGAGCATTTCGAAAAGATTTAGTAAAGACTGATACTAATATAATTAGTATGGCAACTCTCTTTGGTTATTTGTGAACAAAAGAATTATCGCGTTATCTATAATTTGAATAATTATTAGTATGAGTTCATACTCGAACTAATTGATAATGACTAATGATATTGTGTGCAATACTAGTAAACATGATTTTAGTTTGTACATTCTTGAAGTAAGAGTGACTTTTTAATAAAAGAGATTCGAGTTACAAAAGAAAACTTCCTTTCATTTATTGATGTAATTGAAGAAAACGATGGCGAATTTATATTTACAAAAATCTATTAACTCAAGAAAATAAATAAAAGATTAAATTTTAAATATTTAAAATTTATATGTAAGAAATTTAAGTTTTTAAATATTCAATACAATTTAAATCGATTAAATTCGTTTCTATTGGGTATCTAAATTTAAATCTGAAAGAGTTTAAATAAAAAATGTATCAAGAAAAGACCACACTAATTGGACATAGGTACCAAAGAAATAATAATTTTCAATTCAGTGGAATGGAAACTGAAAATCTAATTTAGTAAGTTTACGCGAGACTCTAAATGATAGTAGAATAAACACTTATATCATTAGATTATTTTAGTTGAACGGTTTGTATACATGTCTTATACTCCTATGTTCTCGTGTCCAAATCCGTGCCTCGGCTGCATCAAAATTCATGTAAATTATAGTTCTCAAGGTCTATGAAAAAGCTGTTAGCGCAATCCCTTGCGGGATTAAAAATGTGAAACACGATGGATCTGTTGTTACTAATTAAATGGAAATCGTTTTGTTCTATTTCTTTGCAATACATTTGTAGCTAACCGTTTATCTGATGCTTTAGAAGTACAGTTTCGCTGTCACGGTCTGTGATGGGTCCACACCCTGTCTGCCACGGTCTGTGATGGGTACAGAGCTCTGTCTGTCACGGTCTCTGATGCGTCTAAAGCCTGTCGGTCACGGTCTGTGATGGGTCCAGATCCTGTCTGTCACGGTCTGTGAT